GAGAGAGATAGGAACATCAGTGATGAGAGAGTCACTGATTGGCTGCCTAGCCCGCAACCCAGGCATGTGTCCTGACCGGGAATCGAACCCCAACCTCCTGGATCCCAGGTCGACGCTCAACTGCTGAGCCGCACCCGGCCGGGCTACCGTGAAGATCTTCAAAGGCATCAATACGGCATGTGAACAGTCAGAACACAGACAACGGTCTGGGCCTGGCAGGGTCTGGCGTGAAGGAAGGGTGGAAACAGAGGCTCTATGGAATGCGTGCCCGCCTGGGAGGTGAGCCAGAGAGCTGGGCCTCCATCACTCTGCTTTGCAGGGGCTCCCTGTCCGCTCAAATCCCCAGCCCCTTGCCTCCTACCCCAGCACATTCCTGACTCGCCTCCCTATTTCAACTCACCACATGTTCAAAGACACCAGCTAAACATCGGCCTACATCTAATAAAAACTGGACAGCAACTCTTCTTTAAGAACCAAAAACAACCTATAATCAGCCTCTGCATCTAGAACCAGAAGGATGGACAGCTCGCTCCAGGGGTGGGATGGGAGCCCAAATGTCTTGCCACCACGATGGGGGGGGCAAGACCCTAAGCCTACATATTCTTTAGATCTCAGTTCCTTTAACACCATAAAATGGGGCTGTTTTTAAAGTATTTAGATGACATGTAGGGACCTATGTGGAGTACAAATACCCATAGTCCACAGAACCCATACTAAAGGACATGACAAAAGAGAAAAATACTGAGTAGGCCAGTAAAGGGGAAAATTACCTTCCCCTGGGATAGAGGTCCTAGGTGGGGAAGATGGATTGGGGCAGGGGGAACCTTACGTGTTCCATACTCACAGGAAGATGGGCAGAGCACAGCACTGCTGGCCTCTCCAACCACGCTATGCCAAAGGAGTGGGGACCACTGGGCTGACTGCCTTTCCCAGGCCTTCCACAGGCTGGCTGCCTTTGGACACTCTCTTGTGGGCACTCAGACCTCAGTCTCACATTTATTCAAAATTACTGTGAGCAGGACAGGGTCAAGGAGTAGAGCTGGTATTTGGAACCACCACAGGGCATTTGGGCAATATAAACTCAGAGGACAAAGAATAAAAACACTTTAAGCCTAAGTGAAAGATTATAATCACATCAGTCAAGTCAGAAGAAAGTCACATGTATTTTGTTTTCTTTCTGGCCTTAAACATGCTGACAGGAATGGACTTTGCATGAGTCAGCTGGGCCTTTTCATTACTAATTTTATGCATCTTAAAGCTGAACCTGATAATTAGAACAACATTTTGCAATGTTACTTTTTTTTTTTTTTTTTT